ACGTCATTGCAGCGTGACCCTTCTTGGAAATATCGTGTGCAAGTTGATGTAGGAGGCGGTGAGAAGACATATGTGTATTTAAAGTGCAATTTTTGTGATAAGGTGGTGAAGGGAGGAGTAACTTGCATGAAGGAACACTTATCTGGCTCACATAAAAATGTAGCACCTTATGCGAATGTTCCGGATAATGTGAAGGATGAAATTACAACTTATATAAACAAGAGTACGATGGCCAAACATTTACAACAGGAGCAATTTGATGAAAGGATCGAACATGGTGCTTACTTCGGGAGCGAGAGTGGAAATGGTTCTTCCTCCACTATACATAATAGAGGTGCACGGGGTCCTATGGACCAGTATATAACTTACCCAGGAGAGGATAGAGGACAAGCACAGATGATGCCTACTGCTGGTACCAAAGAGGGTCGACGGCAGGTTTGCATGGATATTGGTATATTTTTTTTTAGAATGTCATATCATTTAATGTTGCGACATCGCCAGCCTACTTCAATATGCTGCGGTCTATAGGATTGTATGGGAGAGGGTTCAAAGCACCTTCCATGTACGAGTTGAGAATATGGATTTTGATGGAGGAGCTGTAGAGCACAGAGCAGAGCATTGATGAGATTAAGCGGACATGGATTGAGACTGGTGTTATCATTATGTCAGATGGATGGTCTGACATGAAGAGCAGGAGCTTGATTAATATCCTTGTGAACAATCCCTACGGCACAGTGTTTTTACGATCAATTGAAGCTTCAAATGAGGCTAAAAATGCTGAATTCATTTTCAATTTACTAGATGGGGTTGTTGAGGAAATTTGGGAGCAATTAGTTGTTCATGTGGTGACTGACATTGCTAGTGCATACAAAGCAGCTGGTCAGATGTTGATGGAGAAGAGGAAACACCTGTATTGGACCCCCTGCGCAGCACATTGTATCGATCTTATATTGGAGGAGCTTGGAGATTTACCTCAACACAAGCGCTCTTTCTAGGGCTAAGAATACGCATAACGCACGCACAAAAGACGCATACAGTACGCATAATACATGCATGCAGTACGCAGTTATCCATATTTATAAATTTCTATTAAATATTTTAGTAGATAAATTTGTATGGACTGAGGGGTCGTGACATGAATAATAATTTTCATTAGTTGTGGACTAACGGGTAACAGATTTTTTGGTTGAGAGGGTTGGTTGAATTTTTATGAGCCTTTATTGACATTTTATTGCTTATTATTATTTAACATTCAAATTTCCACTATATAATGCCGAAACGATTGGCTTTAGAGTAACTCATGATTTTCAAACAAAAGTAATGCAACCTTGACAAAAGGTAAGATTTTTTACTTCAGAAACTAAGTCTAAGGCTGCTGTTAGTTTGTGATTCTTTTGAGGATGAGGATAACTAAGAACATTTCAAAATCGTAAGAATAAAAAAATTAGGTAATCCTTATCCTCAAATGAATCACAAACTACCAGAAGTCTTAGGTTTATTTCTGAAGTAAAAAATATTTCCTTCTGTCAAAGGCTGCATTACTTCTATTTGAAAATCATATCTAAACATCAAAGCAAGGTTCTCTTGTAATTATTTTGGTTGAATTTTTTAATAGAATGTACATAGGTTCTCTTGTAAAATTGTATTTGTTATAAATGTTCTTCTTATTTTGTACATAGGTTCTCTTATAAAATTGTATTTGTTATAAATGATCTTTTTATTTTGTACATAGACATTCTTTATTGTTTAAAGGAAAAAGGACTTTTTAATGATTTTTTATTTTTTAAAATACATAATGTTTACGCATAGAGTAAGCACAGAATACGCATAGAGCACGCACCATTACACATAATATACGCAGAGATTACGCATAATATAATACTGAACACATCCAGTACGCATACTATACATAGAAAATCATATCTTTTATTAATTATTAATACAAAATCATACATTAAGTAACAACTGCTCCAACTGCTAATTTACAAATACTTTAAAAATAGTTTTACAAAATACGCATGGAATACGCAGTGAATACGCATTACATACGTAAAAAATATGCATAGTGTACGCAGTGTTCTACTTCCTCAACAGCTCGACATATTTATAAGGACGCAGCACAGACGACTTAAACCTTTACTGGGGTTTAAGTGTTAAAGCAACGAGAGCTGCTCTTCGTCTTTTGCTTAGAGGTTTCTTCTATTGCGAGTTAGGTTACTGTCTTTTCCGTCTGGCCGCTTCTATCTGAGGCTGTTGTCTCCTCTGACCTACGGCTTTAAGCTCTTCTTATTCGTGGTTGGAGTTAGGGTTTACTTCCTATTTTTCTCATAAATGATGGTCAGAAATAAGGATAAAGCTGCATCAGGTCATAGAAAAAATCCAGCATGGAAACATAGCACTCAGGTGGATGTAGGAGAAAGTGATAAAACATATGTCTATCTAAAATGCAATTATTGTAATAAAGTTGTGAAAGGTGGTGTGACTAGGATGAAGAAACACCTTTCAGGTTCTCACAAGAATGTTGCTCGATGCTCCAAAGTTCTTGATACTGTAAGGGAGGAGATAAAGTCATACATGAATAAGTTTATCGCGTCAAAACATCTTGCACAGAAGCAATTTGAGGACAGAGTTGATGTTGGATCTTACTATGGGAGTGAGCGCAGCGTTAGGGATTCATCTTCTTCGATGAAGCCCATTTCATCTAGGGGTGCTAGAGGGCCTATGGATCATTATATGGTTGACACATCAGAGGATTGGCCTCCTACTACACAGAAGATGGCCTTAGAAAATGCAAGGGAGGCACGGAGAAGAGTGTGTAAGGATATAGGCAGATTCTTCTACGAAAATGCAATTCCATTTAATGTTGGAACATCGCCTACTTATTACAGCATGATTCGTTCAGTTTAAGCATTTGGGAGAGGGTTCAAACCTCCAACTATGTATGATTTAAGAATATGGATTTTGAATGAGAAGTTGGAAAGCACTGATAAAAGCATCGAAGAAATTAAGAAGACTTTGGCCCAAACAGGAGTAACAATTATGTCAGATCGGTGATCTGATATCAAACATAGAAGTCTAATCAACATCCTCATTAATAATCCTTATGGTACTGTATTTTTAAGGTCAATTGAAGCATCTGACCAGGTCAAAGATACTGAGTTCATATTTAAATTATTAGATAGTATTATTGATGAGGTTGGAGAACATTTGGTTGTACAAGTTGTGCTTGGGCGAAGAAGGCTGAGGGAAAAAAGATTAAAAAGATTGTTTTAAATGACAGATTTTGGCAAAGTGTCTTATATGCCATTATAACCACTAGACCTTTAGTTCATATTTTAAGGATGGTGGATGCTGAGAAGAAACCTACAATGGGTTTCATCTACAATGTCATTGATGAAGCCAAAGAAATGATTGCCTCCAACTTAGGAGGCAATGAGGGAAGCTTTAGGGAAATTTAAAATATTATTGATGATAGGTGGGAGCTACAGTTTCACCGACACTTGCATGCAGCTGGCTGTTACCTAAACCCTCAGTATCAATATGCAGAGAACAAGTCTACAAACCCTGAAATAAAGTTGGGATTGTATCATTGCATGGATCGTATAATAAGTGATGCAGATGAAAGATCAAATGCTGACATACAATTGGTACCTTTTAGGAACAAAGAAGGCTTTTTTGGATTACAACAAGCAATTGATATAATTGTCAAACGATCTCCAGTTGAGTGGTGGATTCAATTAGGTGATGGAATTCCAGAATTGTAGCGTTTTGCTGTGAAAGTTTTGGACTTGACATGCTCTTCATCTGGCTGTGAAAGAAATTGGAGTACCTACAATCAAGTATATACAAAGAGGAGAAATCGCTTGTCGACATTGAGGATGAATTCACTGGTGTACATTATGTACAATAGGAGACTCGGAGATAGGAATTTGAAGAAAAAAGGATTAATGGATGATGAAGATCTTTTGCTTTGCGAGGATGTGACATCTTATGATGAGTGGTTTGAAGATGATGAAGTTGAAGTGATGTCGTCTGAATTACAAGATGAAGATTTAAATATTAATTTCTTCGATGATCTTAAAGCATCTACATCCACCATAACTCAAGAACAAATAAAAAAATGTATATAAATAATATAGTTTTATTTTCTTAGACTTTTATTAATGAATTACACTATTATTCATTATGATATTGTTCAAAAATATTTAGGGAAGAGGAAGATAACTGATAATGAGGAAGGAGTTGATTGGGAGACATTGGACTCTATAGGAGAGGAGGAAGATGAGAGAACAGTTCATCATAATGATGATTCAAATGAAGACCCCCTTAGTGATGAGTGATGACTGATGAGTGATGACAGTGCTGATGACTAGTGAGTTCTTATGTGATATGTCATTGTTATTTATCCTCAAAGATGTGGTAAGTAGCATTTTTATGTTTTATATATTATTTACTCATTATTATATATAAAATTTATCATTTTATGTTTACGTAATTTTTTTTATTTTGAGGCTTACGTCTCAAAACACCTTAAGGCTTACGCCTCGCCTCACGAACAAAAAATGCCTCAATACCCGATTACGCAATTTTAAACCTTGGTTGTAATGTAATTGAATTAGATCAATACTGGGCATCTTTTAAGGATTGTTTATCTCACATGGTGGTTTGAAATGGTACCGAATTCAAAACTAGGTTCAATTATTTGAAAGGTAGATAGAATTGAGTTTCTGGTGAGGGAGGGTATGCATAAGGTTGTTAACAAACTTTGAGAAGTTGACTATGCTCACGTGCAAGTCACTTCTGAAAGGGGCACTTTATTTCCGATAATCTCAAACCTTCATGAAGAAGTCAAGAAAAAACTCATTGAGAATAGAGAAGTTCAGCCTTATGAAAGATAATAATTGCAAAAAACCAAAGCAATTTAGTGATAAAAGGATGAAAAGCATATCAAGCATATGGAAAACCTATTTTGGTATTGGTAATCAATGTTGCTAGCTTACCCTCCGCATGACGGATTTCTGGAAACCAGACCTTCTGAAAGATTCATATCGACTCATTTGCTCCTCACAAAATTGAGATAAAATTTCCCTGAAGGAAAGAAAACAAAAAAATATACTGTTTCTCAAACAAAATTTTATAATAAAACTCTAAAAAATCACATATATATATATATATAAATATTGGCATATTCACTTCCAAATTAAATTCCCCAAAATACAGAGAAAAAGGTTATTAGGGGCTCACATCAATTCAATAAATAGCATTTCATAGCCTCATATCATTTCATTGACAGTCCGAATAAGAAAGGTTTAAGGTTGACATTAGGCTGTCATTTAATTATAAAACTAATGCCAACAATCACGATATGAATACAAATTTGAATTTTGTTAGAGAATTTTCCATCAAGGAGTGGTATAATTAATCCGATTGGGATAAAAAGTAGACAAGCATGTGTAAAGACGTTAGAAGCAACTAATGCTACAACTAATACCATATTGGTGATAACTAATAAGTATTGATTAAGAAATCACCGACAAGTGATATACTACAACTTCAACCGATTGTAGTTAAATGTGGGGAATGGTTAACAACGTATATAATTAAGATTAGATTATCTACATGAAAAAGGACATTGAAAGAGAAAACAAGAATTAGTGAACCCGATGATTCAAAAAAGAATCAATATGGTTCTCTTAAATTATATGAAAATGAGAGAAATCCAGGGACGCTAGGGAATATTATAAATTATTAAATGTTGGACGAATAAAAAAATTTGAATATGGAAAGTACAATAGTGGATAGAGAGTTGAAAGATAAAATCAGTAAGGCGAAATGCTTAGGTATAGAGTGATTGTTGTAAAGTGAATTATATATAAGAGTATTATAAATGTGTTTAATGCCTATACTTCTCATGTTGGATTAGAAGATAATTTAAAAAATTAACTTTGGAAGAGATTTAAGGAACTGCTACAACATATATCAGAGGAAGAGATTAAAAGATTATATAAGTTTTAGTAGAATAGGTTGTATGAGGATTCATGTTAGACAAGCAATACTTGGTAAAGCAATAGAATATGACTTTTAAATAGAGAACAATTATTTCAAGAAATAAAAAGACCGCTTTGTTACTTAAGAAGTGGAGCCACTAAATATCAATAGATATATAATTACTAAGAATGAAAGAAAAATCCTTTTGCAAGGATTATAAAGCGATTCCATGAGAAAGTATATTGGTACAGCATAAAAATATATTTATAGATATATATCATGGATTAAAAAGGTATTCAAGATGCAAACCTCGAGGAATGTCTCACCATAAGTTGCCCAAAAATTGCCTTAAGGTTTATGCCATTTTGATTGATTTGTACACCTCAAGGCTTAATGCCTCGAGGCATTTGAAGTGAACACCCCAAAATAATAATATAGTACAACAACAAAAACAATAACATGTCTTTATCCCACTACATGAGATTAGCTAAATGAATCCTTTTTTCTCCATTGCTCCTATTAAGAATCAAATTCTCATTTAAATCTAAAAGAAAATGTCACTTTTAATACTTCTAACCAAGTATTTTTAGGTCTACCTCTACCTTTCTTAACATAAGCTGGATCAAATACATCTAACCTCCCATAGGGTCATCAAAAGGCCCATGTTTTATGTGACCAAACCATCTCTCTAATCTTATCTACCACTAAGCTACTCAAACTTTTTCATGTATATACCTATTTTGCAATTTGTCTAAGTGTAAAGCCACACATCCACCTGAGCATCCTCATCTTTACAACACTTAATTTTATTCTTCTCTTCTAATGGCATACATTCCACACCATAAAACATTGCAGGTCTCACCACGATCTTTTAAAATTTTCCCTTATATTTGAGGTGTACTTTTCTATCACACAATAGGCCTAATGCATTCCTCCACTTCAAACATCCAACCTGAATTCTACTAATAATATCCTCATCTATTTCACCATCACTTTGAACAATAGATTCAAGATAACTAAAATGTGCACGCTTTTAAATGACACGGTCAACAAATGTCACAATCCCATTACTAGATCTATTACTGCTAAGATTATACTCAATGTATTTGATCTAAAATTGATCTCCATAATTCAAGTTTGCATCAACTCCCTCTCTAGTTTATCAATAAGAAGATTATCATCAACAAAAAGAATACACCAAGGTACATCCTCTTGCAAACATTTAGTAAGAATATCCATGACTAAAGCAAAAATATTTGGCTTAGAGCTGATCCTTGGTATAATCCAACTAAAATAGGAAAATACATGGTCAAACCACCATGTATTTGAATACAAGTAGCAACTCTTATACATATCATTTTCTTTTCTAGAACTCTACAGATAACTTCTATTGGAACTTTATCATATACAACAACAATAACATCAAGCCTTTATCCCACTACGTGGGGTCGGCAACATGAATCATTTTTCTGTGTCCTGTTAAGAGTCAAATTCTCATTTAAATCTAATAAAGAAAGATCAATTCTAATATTTTCTAAACAAATCTTTTTAGGTCTACCTCTACCTTTCTTAATATAGGCCAAATCTAATACATCTACTCTCCTAATAGGGTCATTAGAAGGCCACCGTTTTACATGACCAAACCATTTAAGGCGACTCTCTCTAATCTTATCTATCACTAGAGCTACTCCAATCTTTTTTCACGGATATGCTCGTTTCATATCCTGTCTCAAAGAGTAATTCCACTCATCCACCTGAGCATCCTCATCTCATCAACGCTTAACCTAAAATTATGCTTCTCTTTTAATAGACAACATTCTGCGCCATAAAGCATTGCAGGTCTCAACACCATCTTATTAAATTTTTCCTTAAATTTGAGTGGTATTTTTATATCACACAACAAACCCGAAACATTCCTCCACTTTAACCATCCAACTTGAATTCTACTAATAATATCCCCATCTATTTCACTATCACTTTGAATAATATACCCAAGATATCTAAAACAAGTACACTTATTAATGACTTGATCGCTCAAAGTCACAAACCTCCCACTAAATCTATTACGAATATTACACTCTATGTATTCGATTTTAGATCTACTCAAACAAAAACCTTTAGACTCTAAGGTTGATCTCCATAATTCAAGTTTACCTTCAACTCCCTCTTTAGTCTTATTAACAAGAAAAATATCATCAGCAAAAAGCATACACCAAGGCATGTCCTCTTGCAAATGTCTAGTAAGAACACCCATGACTAAAGCAAAAAGATAAGAGCTTAAGGCTGATCCTTGACACAATCCAATTGAAATAAGAAAATACTTGGTCAAATCACCTTGTGTTTGAACACAAGTAATAGCTCCTACATATATATCCCTAATGACTTGAATATAAATATTATTAACCCCTTTCATTTTTAGAACTCTCCATAGCACTTCCTTGAAACTTTATCATATGTAGATCCTCCTTATTTACTCTACACTTCTCCATCAACCCTCTCAATAAATGAATAGCTTCCATAGTAGACCTAACCAGCATAAATCCAAATTGATTTTGAGAAACATTAGTATCACGTCGTAACCTATGCTCCATAACTCCTAAAGTTTTAAGGTATGGCACAACATTTTACTATATTTTTCACATTCTTTCCCTTCATCTTAAAATTCAAAACTAATAAGCAATATTTGGTGCATAAACTTTCATTCGGAATAACTTTACAATCTTTACAATCTAAACGATTTATTTTTCTTATAAGAAAATAATCAATCTGAGTTTTACTATATCCATTCTTAAAAGTGATGAGATGCTCATCTCTATTTCCTTCCCGTACGTTGGACAGTTCGAGAGTAATCTTTGTTCGTTTGTGACTCACATATCATGAGGGTTAGGATAACAAAATAATAAAACCTAAATAAATATTTTAATCATATTTTAATATTAATATTACATTATCTTATAATTAAAAACATATAAATATTAAAAAATATTTATAATTATATTAAAAATCCCTAAATAAAATTGCGCACTATTTGTGCCATGTGCGCGCAGTGGCACATGGCGCAAATAGTAGGCGCTATTTTGAACCTTCGCGTTGTAGGTGCGCCGCATCGTGCCGCACCTTGAGCCATGGCACGTGCTATTTTGTGGCATTGACAAGTACGGTTGTATTAGGTTGGATCGTAACAACGTATTTATGCAACTATTAATCATGAAGCATTCGATATTGCATTGAGCTCATTTGGTTACTTAAAGATGAAAAATATGTTTTATAAAGTGATCATTTTTTTATTTATTAGTGTAATTGATGATTTCTTTGATTTATTATAATGGGTAGTGGTGTAAGAAGAAAAAAATTAGCTTGAAAATATATTTTTGACTGGTAAAATAAATATATTAATGATTTATTTACTTTTTTTATTTTTTTAATTATTTGTGATTTTATAAGTTTTTTTTTTCAAGGCACACGCCTCACCGAGCTAAAGGCAAAATGCCTTGATTCCCAATTTTGCATTTTTAAACATTGATTCCAAATACATCAAAAGTGTACTTTACATTTCCTTTACATCAGACCAAACACCAATATTTTTAAAAATAACTGTATTTGGAATACTTTATATATTTTACTTCAAATCAAACAACCTCTTAATTAAAAAAAATCATTCAATTAACCCAATTTCTCCCTCATGCCTCACGCAACGCTCCTCTCCTCTCGGTCTCACGCAAACTCGAGCCCCCTCTCAATCTAACACACTCCTTTACTCAGCCTCGCGCATACCGGCAATTTCCTCCTTTATTATTGCCACCACTCCTATTCCTTACAAAGTTTTCATCCTCCAAAGGAACGCATCTCCTCTTCCTCTACCACATATCTTCTTCTAGCAACAATCCTTAAACCCTACATTTTTTTTGTATTAAGATTTTTTTTTTGCTTTATTTATCAAGATTTCTTGTTTATATGTCTCAACTTTTTTGAATTAAAATTTTCATTTTAGGGCTTTTTAAAAAATAGTTAAAGGTAAGGAGAAAAACACAATAGAACTTAGAAAAGAACCAACATGAAAATAGTGTCCAAGTTAAAATTGGATGGAGTGACAGACGTATGTTAATTTGAAATACAATGATAAAGTTGTTAAAAATTGTTTAACAAGAATGAAAGAGCACCTTCCAAGCTCTCATATGAATATTGCACAATATTTCAAGGTGCGTAAGGAGGTGAAAGAGGAGATTTATGTATATATGAACAAGGTAATAATGTCGAAGCATTAAGCACAATGACAATCTATCAAAAGAGTGGATGTTAGGTCATTATGATAATGGACCTAGTGGCAAAGATTCCTCATCTTCTATGCCACAAATTTCAAGTACATGTGCAACAAAACTATGGATCAAGACATGATAAATGTGGAGGAATACAAGGATGAAAGTGTGAGGATAGCCCACCCGATATCTTTTAAAAATGCTACAAAGGCTCGCTCGCATGTTTATTGGAATTAGAAGATTCTTTTATGAAAATGTCATTATAGTTAATGTGGCAACCTTTATTATTTTAACTTAATGAGCTGAGAAGTTTGATATTGAAGCAATAATTAAATAGCACTAAGAAAGTCATTAAAGAGATTAGGAGAACTTAGTAACACATTAGAGTGCTATCATGTCTGATTGTTGATTTGATATTAAACATAAAAACTTCATCAACATTTTGATTAACAATCCATATGACACTATTTTATTAAAGTTTGTTGAAGCATCATATAAGTTAAAGGATTCAATATATTTTTAGAATTCTTGATGGAATCATAGAAGAGATTGGAGAGCATCTAGTTGCATAGATCGTTTCAAACAAAGCTGGTGCATATAGAGCAACTAGAAATACGTTGATATAGAAGAAAAAGTATATGTATTGAACATCATGGGTGGCTCATTGCATATATTTGATTCTTAAAAAATTTAGAAAGTTGCCTCAACACAAGAATACCTTAAGCAAGGAAAAAGTATCAGCAAGTTCATCTAAAAACATTCATGGATTTTGACTTTCAAGAGAAAATTTTATGAGGAACTTCTAAGGCCTACTAGATTTTAACAGGCCTAATTGACTCTACAAAATAGCTTCAAAGAAAGACTGCCATTGGGGGCTATGTTCAACTCCAGACAATGATTAAATTGTGCTAGTGAAAATAAATATGAAGGAATAAAAGTTAGATTGTTTTGAATGAAAGGTTTTGATTAACGGTAAGTTATGCAATAAAAAAAACAAAGTCATTGGTTCAAGTTTTAACAATGGTTAATGCAGATAAAAAGTCAACTATAGGTTTCATTTATAATATGATGGATGAGGTTAGGGAATTGATATCACATTACTTAAGAAGAGAGGAGTTCAATTATAAGGAATTTAAAAAAAAAAAAATTTTTGATAAGTGGGAGCTTCAGCTTGATCGACAATTGCATGCCACAGAATATTATCTTAATCGTCAATTTTAATATATTGAAAAAGATTAATTAATACTGAAATCAAATTTAGTTTATATTATTTTATAGATGAATTGATACTTGAATCAACTAAGAGGGTGAATGCTAATATGCAAATTCTAGCATTTCGACATGATGAATGATTCTTTGGACTATAGCAAGCCAAAGATAATGTAGAAAAATGTTGCTTAGATAATTTTTAGCATTTATTGGTTAAAATAAAAAAGATTCACCCAATTGTAATTGTATTTTTTTTTAATTAAGTTAAATGATGCATTCAATTTGGTGCTGACAATGCAAAACTACAGTAATTTACACTACAGTAATTTACGATTAAAATATTGGGCCTTACATGTTTTTAATATAGTTATGAGCAAAATTAGAATTCATACAATCAAGTTCATGCCAAAAGGAGAAGTCATTGACTACCTTAAGGATGAACTCCTTAGTTAACACTTTGTATAACAAGGGATTAAATGATAGAAATTTGAAGAAAAGGGCTTTAAAGGATGACAATTATCCATTAATTCGTAATGATGCCATTAGATGAAGAATAATCTGTGAATAATGATAATGAAATTATACCATTCGATTTTCAATAAGATCTCAATATTAAATTCTTTGATGGAGATAGAAACAAGATCAATAGGTCTAAAATAAGCATAAAAAGAAATTTAAAAACAGGTGTTTATAAAAATTTATGTAACTAAAGTTGTAACCATCATTATAATCATTGGTTTAAACTTTAACTAATATTCTTACTGATTATTATTGATTAAGATAGAGGAAGATAATTGAGATTGATAATGAGATGAAAAATTAGGAAAACATTGACATAATTGAAGATGAGGCAAGAAAGAAAGCAGTTTATTATGACAATAGTTCTAATGAAGCCCCACTAAGAAATGAAAGTGCTGAGGAACTTTATCATATGCTTTCTCTATATCAATAAATATCATATGTAGATCCTCCTTATTCTCTCTCTACTTCTCCATCAAAACACTTAATATATGTATAGCTTCCATTAGGGCTGTCAATATATGACACGACCCGAAAACCCGACTCGAACACGACCCGATTTTTTCGGGTTTGGGTCAACCCGAACCCGAAACGGGTCGAGTTCGGGTTACATTTTTCGACCCGTTTTAAATATCGGGTCGGGTCCGGGTTGACACGGAAACCCGATATTGACCCGGAAATGACCCGCTTCAACCCGCGCTGTCCAGCGATCCGAGCGACTGGGTGCGACCGTGCGAGCATGCGAGTAAATGAGTAATGCGACGCAGCGACGGTGCGATTTAATTTAGGCTTTTAGATTTTAGGGCACATTTCAACTCAACGAAAGTTCCGTCTTCGACTCTTCCTGGGCGTCTGCCGGCTGCCTCCTTCACGGAGCTTCTCTCCTCGTCGCCTCGTCGGTGTCGTCGACGCGTCGTCTATTCCTCATTTCCTCTATTAGTATATTTTTAATCTCCTATTCTCCTTCTTGCTCGAACCCTGAAGGCTCGTAGCTTTTCAGTTTTTTCTTTCTTGCTAATTAGTTGCTATCATTTTGGAATTATCTTGGTTGAAGACTTCAAGTATCATCCTTGTTCGGTTATTTCTTCTGATTTAAGCTATTATGCAAATTTCCTTTTTATTTGCCGATTAGGGCTTAGGGTTTATTTCTTCTGATTTAAACGGGTCGGGTCGGGTTGACCCGGACCCGAGGCGGGTCGGGTCCGGGTCAGCAAAAATGACCCGTTTCAAGAAACGGGTCGGGTTCGGGTTGACCCGAATTGGGTCGGGTTAATTTCGGGTTGGACCCGAACCCGACCCGAAACCCGTTTTTGACAGCCCTAGCTTCCATAGTAGACCTACCCGGCATGAATCCAAATTGATTTTGAGAGAAATTAGTATCAAATCGTAAACTTTGCTTCATAACTCTCTCTAATAGTTTTAGAAGTATGACACGTTAACTTAATACCTCTATAATTCGCACAATCTTGTGCATCACCTTTATTCTTAAAAATAAGAATAAACATACTTATTCTCCACTCATCTTGCATATTTTTAAGTCTTCAAAATTATATTAAAAAGTTTAGTAAGTCAAGAAATTTCTTTCATCTCCTAAGCATTTCAACACCTATATTGAAATATCATCAAGTTCAATAGCTTTTTCACACTCATAATTGTATTCTCACAATTTTCATTGAAACTTTTAGCAAAATGTCTCATCCACCTTTGTTGAATATCCACTTCTTGATAAGTATAATGTAATCAAGCAAAATGAAATAAGTTTCTGTGCTATGAGATTCTTCTTCTTCCTCTTCCTCTTCCTCTTCCTCTTCATTAATTTTTGTATAATTAAAATCACTTTTTATCCATCCCACTCAATGAGTTCACAAGACATTCCTTAAAAATGTTTTCCAACCTACAAGTTAAATCTAAAATTGCTTAAAGTATTCTTGTTTGAAAGTTGACGCTTTTGGAATTACTCTAAGGGGCAGTTTGGTAGCCAGATTTAGGCCGGATTTGAGGCGGATTTGAGTGAAATCCAGCCAAATGGCCTAAAATGCAAAACCAAATCTCACGGTAAATGAAAGCCGCGATTAACGGAAAATTCCACATTTTCGTGGTAAATCCCAGATTTCTGAAATCCTCTCGTTCGGCGGATTTAAACGAAAGCCGCGTTGTTAGCCTCATCTCCTCACCCTTGCCTCTTCAGAATAGCCAAACAGACGCGCGGGATTTAACAGGATTTATCATGAATGTTACCAAATAGTTTTCAAAATTTAAAACCCTTAGAGGATTTATGAAATCCTACTTAAATGAAATCATGGGTGCTACAAAACAACCCCTAAGATTGCAAAAAAAAACTCAAGATTAGAGTTTGTGGTATGGCACGCAATACCTTCAAAGAATTTACAAAAGCAAATAAACTGAAATAAGTGGGTGAACAGAAAAGTGGATAGCTTACTGCATTTTGGCCATCTTGTCGGGGTCACCAGTGGAGGAAAACTTTCTCAGCTCAACGTCCATATTCTCCTCCTCCTCCTCCTCTTCATCATCCTTTCCCTTTCCCCCTATGGCCACGGTGGAAGCATTGGCCACATTTGAGGGAGCAGCTGCCGATGGGTGTGATCCGGGAGCCACCTCCTCATCTTCGCCTTCCATGGTGGGAGCTTCCTCCTCCGGCAGCGGCGGAGGCGATGCCGGCGGTGAATCCTCTTCCTCGTAAGCGGCCTCGAACGGGTCCTTCATTTTTTTAAAATCCAACTAATCCAAAAACTGTTGGGTAGCAGTACTCAAATCCTGCCAAACGGTAGAAAAGATTATTTTAAGTTCTACAGGCTTAGAAATCTGGTTTTCATTCCGTTTCATCTTAAATCCCGGATTTACTAAATGAAGGCAATGGGCTGATTTAGCTTAAATCCGCTGCCTATCTCACCAACTCCTCTTCTCCTTCACACGCAGAGATCCCGTTCGATTCCTTCGCCAGTGAACTCCCCTCGCGCCTTCCTGGCTCCTTTGTCGTTGAGGGTTTCGGACAGGTGAGAGAGAGAGCGAGAGAGTACAAGGCTTCGATATCTTGTGTTGTGTAATTTTATCATAGGTGATAGGTATTTAGATACGAGGTAATTTAGGTTTTTAAAAATTTAATTTTTATGTGCAATTAATTTTATAAATTATTCCCTAAATTTTTCCCCAAAAAAATATTATAAATTATTAGTTTAAAGTTAGTTGAGATGTTATTTTATATTAATTATAACATAATTAGTTCAATAGAATTGATAAATAATTATTTATTAAATTATTAAAGTTGAAATAAGTAGATTAAATACATATATGCATCAATTAAAAAATAAATTTGTCTCAATTATTACTTTTTTGGACTATTAATAATCAGTATTGGTGAATTAAAAACATTAATTTAAGAAATTTTATTTTTTTTTAATTTTATGACATAGACGTTATTGCTTAATTTACTCAATAAATTACTAATTAATTATTAAATAAGATATTTATTTATGTCAACTATACCTTAAAAAATATAATTAAGATTTATATTGGCTAAGTTATAATAATAAAATATCACAGTCATATAAATGTTAAAATGAGTGTTAAATAGTTAACATAAATTCAATAAAATTTAACAATATATGACACCAAACAATTTTTAAAATTTTGCAACATAAAATTTATAAGATTTATTAAAAACTACTTGCAGCCAAATAGCCCTGAACTTAAATCTTTTTGTTGTTTTAAGAGTTGAGCGCTCGACTAAAATGAAAATTTTTGTTATTATATTTTTTATAATCTTTCAATTTAGACTTTGTTTAGGGCAGTTTTCTTATTGTTTTCTACACTAGCTTTTTGTACAAAAAATCTTGAAAGCGGCAAAAAAATAGTGGCCAAAAGCTGGCTCAAACGAACCATTAATGCTTCGTTTGGACAACTTTCTTATTACTTTCGAAGACAGCTTTTTAGTATAAAATTTTTTTTAAATTGAAATTTTTATGAAAAAAATTGTTTTACAAAAAAATGAGAAAGTTGTCTCAAACAAAACCTAAAATCAAGTTTATTGTAATCTATGACTGAAGATTTGAATAGGATATTATTTTAACAATTATAGTGATGATTTAATCGTTCTTCAAACATGCCAAATTTTCAAATATGATGAAATAGCATATGGAAGTTATTTTAAAAATTCAACCTCATAAATGTGTTTCATTGAAGAAACTTGTCAAATATTTGCAAGAGATCATCAATAATTCATGCATTTAGTTCCAATCCATTTGGAATTTTCTACACTTCAATATAAAAATTATCTTATCATGTGATTAAATATGTTTTGAGGCAACCGAGGGCCAAAACCATCAAACAATTTACCTGTGAGATCTATAATTAAAAAAAAAAAAAATTAACATCAATTTTGATTTTATAGATTCTAAAAGTATTTATGTGGTATCAAAATTTGCAGCTGCCGATGGGTGTGATCCGGGAGCCACCTCCTCATCTTCGCCTTCCATGGTGGGAGCTTCCTCCTCCGGCAGAGGCGGAGGCGATGCCGGCGGTGAATCATCCTCCTCATAAGCGGCCTCGAACGGGTCCTTCATTTTTTTAAATCTAACTAATCCAAAAACAGTTGGGTAGCAGTACTCAAATCCTGCCAAACGGTAGAAAATAATATTTTAAATTCTACAGGCTTAGAAATCTCGTTTTCATTCCGATTCATCTTAAATCCCGGATTTACTAAATGCAGGCAATGGGCTGATTTAGCTTAAATCCGCCGCCCATCTCACCAACTCCTTTTCTCCTTCACACGCAGAGATCCCGTTGGATGCCTTCGGCAGTGAACTCCCCTCGCAACTTCCTGGCTCCTTTGTCGTCGAGGGTTTCGGACTGGATGAGAGAGAGAGAGAGGAATACAAGGCTTCGATATCTTGTGTGTCGTGTAAGTTTATCATAGGTGATAGGTATTTAGATACGAGGTAATTTAGGTTTTTAAATTTTTTTTTTTTTTTTTTTTTGTAAAGTTAGGGGCAAAGCCCAATTTCATTAATGAAAAAGACTAGTTACATGTGTGAAAAAGAAAGGTATAAAGGAGGAGAAAAACCCCCTGTAAACAAAACAAGTACATTTTCGTGCCAAAAGTACACATGAAAAAATAGATAATAAAATTAAAAACAGCAACAAAGTCGGTTAGGAAACCGTAAGGGCTCAGGAAGAATAGATTGCAATCGCCGAATAGATCAAAACTCCCCCGGTTGCGAGGACTGCCATCATGAGGGATTCAAGTTGCAAGAGACCACCATCCTGGGAGATGGCAAATGCAATCTGCATCATTGCCCACCAAAAAATGAAAAACCGCAGCCATAAAATCACATTGATGTTAGCCAGAGGACCCATAAAAACCAGAGGAGCAATTTATAATATATCCAACAGAGATAGTCCATTATGCCAGTTGTAAACTCTAGAGGAGACAGCTCTTTTGATCTTTAGGGAAATAGTAGAATGACTAGCAGCAGAATGAGCAAATCTTCGCTCATTATGTTCCATCCACAGTAGATAAAATAGTGCAGCAAATGATAAGTAAGTAACATCTTTTGGTTTTAATAGAGGTGTTGGGCTTAGAATCAACCCAATCGAATAACTGCAGCAAATTTGGCCTAAGCAGAATCTCAGAATAGCCAGGTATCAGAGAGGTTATAATACTGTGAGAGAAGGAACATTCAAAAAAAAAGATGCATAACGCTCTCATTGTAAGAATGACACAAAGAGTAGGTTAAGTCCACAAAAATATTCCTGTTTTTAAGCTCCATAGCTGTTTTGAGGCCACCAACCAGGACCAGCCAACCAAAAGCCGAATATCGTAAAGCATGTCCCTTATACCACAGGAAACTAGCCCAGATGCAAGCAGGAGCGTATTTATAAAATTCCACTAAAAAATCATGTGTTTAGGATTAACAGAGTCTCCCCATAGTAAAAATTTGCATTCCAGCTCAGAAATACTAACCCTTTGTATCAAATTAGAGACAGTCATAGGGATAAAACTAGGAAGATTCCAGCTCCCTAAAGTAATAAAATTGCAAACCGGAGCATTACAGGTGGGCATACGAAGGAGGGACGACCCCTCCTATAAATCCAACAAATTGAGCCCATTACACCAGTGATCCCAAAGAAAGAAAGCAGGTGAATTATGGGAAATCAGAAATTTAAAGTTTGATTTAACAGTAGAAGCAGAGTAGCATATAGCTTTCCAAAATTTAGAAGCCTTAGGATCAGGCGGCTTCCAGGGAGAATTATACTTATAGAAGAGCTAAGCAGCCAAGGGAGATTTGTAATTGTAAATCCTAAGTATAAGGGAGCAATTAAAGCCAAATTGGAGAGCAGGGATAGACGACAGGCCAAGCCCTCCAAGATCTTTAGGCTTACAGACATTGTGCCAAGCAACCAAGTGCAATTTTTTCCCAGCCAAGGAGTCACCAAAGAATAAAAACTTAGAAGCAAGCTTTCTGAAGTGTTTTATAACAGTTTTTTGCAGTATATCTCCTCTAATCTAATAGGCGATGGAATTCAGCATGGTAAATTTTAAAAGTTGTAGGTGACCCGTAAAAGATAAGAGACTAGCATTCCAGCCCGTCAGCTTTCTAGCAATTGAATCTAAAAGAGGTGAGAAATCCACAATTTTAAGCCTATGAAAAGAGATCGGAATCCCAAGGTAAGTGACTATATTAATAGGCATAGGGAGAGATAAAGCATTACAGATTTATTCAGCATTCCTAAAGTTCTTAGGGAGCATTAATGAGCTTTTTTCATAGTTGACGTGAAGGCCAGTAGCAGATGAAAAGGTATTCAATTTCTCCATAAGAGCATTACACTTAGGGACAGAGGGCTCACCAAAAATAAGTAAGTCATCAGCATAAAGTAAGTGGCTAAGAGTAAAGTTACCAAAGGAGGCCCCCACAAAATTACCATTGTCAATGAGAGAGGATAGAGCATCCATCACAATATAGAAGAGATATGGGCTCAGAGGGCAGCCTTGTCGTAATCCAGCAGAAGAAGTAAAGAACCCTTCAAGGGTGCCATTAATCACAATAGAAAAGTTAACATTGGTAATGCATTCTTTAGTCCAGTGAATGAATTGCTCCGGAAAACCTTTTTGAAGCATTCTAGTCAGTAGAAATTCCCTTGAAACCGTATCGAAAGCTTTCCGAATGTCATATTTTGCACTAAAAAAGTTTTTTTTTCCCCTTTTGTAGCAAAAGAAAGAAGTTCTTGAGCCAAAATAATATTATCTGTAGAGATTCTAGACATGATAAAGCCAGATTGATTGTCTTTCACAATCAAAGGCATAATGGATTTGAGTCTAGTGGCTAGAATTTTAGAGATAATTTTGTAAATCACATTAGAAAGAGAAATTGGCCTAAAATCAAAAAAGGAAGAGGCGTGCTTAGTTTTCAGAATAAGTGCCAAGGCAGTAGCTTTAATAGTCGGGGGCATGTGACCTTTATGAAAGAAAGATTTAACTGCCTTACAGACACAAGGTCCAATAATATGCCAACATTTTTTGTAGAAATGATAATTGAGTCCATCAGGTCCTAGGGTAGAAGAGTTAGTATCAGCAAACACAGCATTTTTGACCTCCTCATCTGAGACAAAAAATGTCAGAGAATCAGATAGGGAAGGGGGAAGAGTATTACCAGAAGGGAAGAGGTCAATATTGATAGATTCCGGAGGCAGCGGATTGTACAGGTCACTGAAATGATGAATAATATCATTGATTGCCTCAACTCTCATAGGGTGTAGAGAGGCCCCCAAGTTAAGAACAGCGTTGCTAGATGCCATTCTACGCCTTATCTTAGCATATAAAAATTTGAGATTGTCTTCCCCTTGAGAGAGCCAAGATGACTTAGCCCTTTTAATGATCCAAGAAGCATGAAGAGAAGTAAAGTCCGAAATCTGCCTGGATATAGTCTTTAAAGAGGCGTTTAAAGAATCATTATGGGGGGACCTCGAGATCTGTTCTAACAAACAGATTGCATATCATGAAGATTGTCCAGATGCACTTTAATAGTATTTGAATTTGCCCAAGTTTGC